AGGGAGGGAGGGCGTAAGAGATCAACCAAAAAACTTGTATGCATAGAAAAATAACCAATGGATACAGAGAAAAAGGGGGGCATGAAGGTTGAGGCTGGGGGTTGGAGTCAGGTTGGGAGACTACAATGGAGGGAAAAGGTGACATATGTAATACTTTCAACAATAAAGAATTTAAAATAAGCCCTAGCCACGTTGGCTCAGTGGACAGTACGTCAACCTGCGGACTAAAGGGTCCCAGGTTGGATTCTGGTCAAGGGCACATGCCCAGGTTGTGGGCTCGATCCCCAGTGGAGAGTGTGCAGGAGGCAGCCAGTCAATGATTCTCTCTCATCATTGATGTTTCTATCTCTCACTCCCTCTTCTTTCCTCTCTGAAATAAAAATATACTTAAAAAAAGAATTTAAAATAAAACAACAACAAAAGATGAAAAGGGTACAAAATCACTGGTGTAAGGCAAAGGAAGACCCACAGCCACCTAGGGCAAGATTACAATTGAGAACAATGCCAGACAGGCTAGCAGCCGTGAGGAAAAGCTGGGGTGGAAGTTTCTTTGGGTAATTAGAGCATTGAAAAGCACCCATATATATTGGGGGATTTAGAAAGCATTGTGCATCCCCAAGCCAGGAAAATGCTCAGAAAGACCTGAAAAGACAAGCTTTCACTCTGGCTAATCTCTAGGTTCCGCACAAACAGGAAGCGAGGGCTAAGGCAGAGCTGGAAATATCCTGGTGAAGCATTAAAACTTCACAGATCTGCAGAGTGAGAGAGGTTTTTCATTGTGTTTTTTTTTTCTTCCATTTTCTCTCACAATATATAAAAAATTCATAACTCAACAACAAAAAGACAAAAGAACTCAATTTAAAAATGGACAAAGCCTTGAATATACATTTCTCCATAGAAGATATACAAATGGCCAACAAGCACATGAAAAGATGCTCAACATCACTAGGGAAACGTAAATCAAAACAGCATTGAGATACATCTTCGCACCCATTAGGATGGCTAATGTGTAGAGGACGTGGAGAAACTGGGACCCTCATACATGGTTGGTGGGAATGAAAACGGTGCAACATTGTGGAAGAGTTTGGCGGTTCCTCAGAAAAGTTAAACGTGGAATTACCATATGATCCAGCAATTCCACTCCTAGGTGTATACCCCAAAGAACTGAAAGCAGATAATTAAAAACACACACACACACACACACACACACACACACACATTCACAGCAGCATTATCCACAATAGCTAAAATGGCCTTCAGCAGGTGAATGGTTAACCAATTGTGGTGATCCATATAATGGAAAACTATTCAGTCACAAAAGGAATTACATACAGATAAATGCTATGAGGATGAACCTTGAAAACATTATGCTAGGGGCAATTAGCCAAATGGTCACATATTCCACTTACATGAAAAATCCAGAATCTGTAAATTCATATAGGCAGCTTGACAACTGCCAGAAGCTGGGGTGAATGGGGAAATGAGGAGTAACTGTTTAATGGGTACAGGGTTTCCTTTGCGCTGATGTTTTGGAAGTAGGTACAAGTGGAGGTTGCACAACATACTGAATGTACTAAATGTCACTGAGTTATTCCCTGTAAAATGACTTATTTTATGTAATGTGAATTTCACCTCATTACAAAATCCATTGAAAAAGGAATCAGCCCTAGTCGGTTTGGCTTGGTGGATAGAGCGTCAGCCTGCAGGCTGAGGGGTCCCAGGTTCGATTCCAGGCAAGGGCATATGCCCTGGTTGTGGGCTCGTTCCCCAGTGGGGGGTGTGCAGGAGGCAGCCGATCAATGATTCTCTCTCATCATTGATGTTTCTATCTCTCTCTCTCCCTTCCTCTCAGTAAATCAATAAAAAGATCAATAAAAATTTTTTAAAAAGGAATCAGTGTGCTCTCCTTTTCTCGGGCCTGCACGTTTGCTCTCTTTCTCCTAAACTCTAAACGCCCCCATGAGACTTGCAACCAGGGCAGCAGTGGCAGCTGCAGCTCGTCCTAGGCGAACCCCACTGAATCTGTTCCTAAAGCCCCCTTTTCTCTGACTTTTCAGTGAGCGAAAAGCAGTCCCCCCTTGGCCCACTTGTGTCACTGACTTTTACTTCTCAGTTATTCTGCAGCCCGTGTGACTCGCTTCTTCCCTGAGACGTTTCTAGAGTCCAAAGCAGCATGGCCTGGGCTCTCTCCTGTTGCTTCTAAGTCCTTCCTTGGTTTCAGTACCTTTGATAAAGGTACTCTCAACAGAAAAAAAGCAAAAGGAACCATCCATTCCCCACAACTACTTCAAAATGTTCAAGCAGTCTGAATGATAGAAAAACTAGTGAAACAAACAACTGTTCATAAACTGTGACATTACAAAGTGGTATTACTCCGAGTTCTTCAAGTGCAGGAAGGCGCGGACAGCCAGCAGCTGTATTTAAAGAGTAATTGTCACTATCTGCCAACCTCTCCCCGTCCTATAGGTATATTCGAAATTTCAGCCCTGGCTGGATAGCTCAGTTGGTTAGAGCATCATCCCCATATACCAAGGGGGGGCGGGGGGAGGGGGGACGGGACAGGACTCAATGCCCAGTCAGGTCAGGGCACATACAAGAACCAGCCAATGATGCATAAATAAGTGGAACAACAAATCAATGTTTCTCTCTCTCCCTCCTTAAAACCAGTAAATAAAAGTGAAATTTTCCGTCTGAACAATTTTTCTAATGTTGAGATGGAATCACCAAGAGAATCCATTTCTCCCATGACTTCTTTGCTTATCTGTCTGCTTCCAGAGGGAGGTCATCTCCGAGTCCTCTAAGCCAGACTGAGGAAGAGACTGAATGGCTGGGTGAGAAACCTACACTGTCACAGATATTTATGAGGACCTATGATATACCAAGTACTGAGCCCAATGAGGTTGGCCTAGTGTCAGTCCCACTTTACAGATGAGGAAACTGAGGACCAGCAGGGTGACTGCCTCAAGGGAAGGTGGGGCGTGGTTTGAACTGGGCCCCAGGCCCGCCCTCTTCGCCTCCTCTCCCCTGTGGACTCGAAAACGGGCCGCCTGAGCCGCTCTGCTGACCCGCTGGCCCCCAAGTCTGAGACCCTCGGGGTGCCCGCTGGGCCAAGTCTATGAACTCTCCAAGGAAAAGCGAGCGCATGCTCACTGTGGACCAGGCTGCGCCTCACTTAGTTCTCATTACCCGCAACTTACAGGTGAGAAAACGGATAGAGTGACGGTTCGAAGGCACAAAAGGAATGAGGAGTCGGGCTTCGAAGCTGAGGCTTTGTTCAGATACCAGAGATAATATGACACCCCTGTTAATACGGACAATTCTCTACACCCCTGCCCCCCACCCCAGCCGAGCCTTTTCATAGGCGAGCCCTACGGGTCCCTTGCAGGGCCACGCCCGCCCTCTATTTGGCCCCGTTCTAGCCTGACAAGATGGTCCCACGGTCTTCACGCGTGGCCGACTCTGGGGAAACCGCACAGTGGTTCTCAACCTTCTGGCCCTTTAAATACAGTTCCTCATGTTGTGACCCAACCAAAAAATTATTTTCATTGCTACTATTATGAATCATAATGTAAATATCTGATATGCAGGATGGCCTTAGGTGACCCCTGTGAAAGGGCCGATGGACCGCCAAAGGGGTCGCGACCCACAGGTTGAGAACCGCTGGAGAAGGACCCGACCGCCACCACTTTAGTTGTCTTAATGTTTGCCTGAGGACAACGTAATATTGTTACTTATTTTTGTCATTTTCCTTCACCAGCAATTGAAACTGAAAATGGGGGTCTTTTAGAAAAAAAGTCTAGAAGGTTGAATGTTTTCGGGCACACCAGGCATTCATTTGGGCAGCTACATCCTCAGGAGGTCCTACACTCCCAACTCCGCTGGTTTCGGATAACGGGCAGAAGCAGCTGCCAATGAGCTCCGCTGAGTGCAGAGGGGGCAGGGCTAGCCCTTAAAGGAGCCACGACCCATTAGGAGACCATAGGATGATCCAGATGATGGCGGCCAGCGCGGCCTTAGCCTTGGCCCTGGGGCTCCTACTGCCATCAGCGGGGGTGAGAGGGGCCGGGCCCCCACCGATACAGGACGGCGAGTTCACATTCCGGCTGCCTGCGGGGAGAAAGCAATGTTTCTACCAGTCCGCGCCGGCCAACGCAAGCCTCGAGACCGAGTACCAGGTAGAGGGACCTGGGCCGGAGAGCGAGCGGAGCCAAGGGGAGAGGGCGTGGCCAAGCAGCCACTGCAAGGCTGGCCTTAAAGAGGAAAGGGGCGGGCGCCTGTGCGTAAGAGCGTGGGGGCGGGATCTTACGAAGGGGGCAGGACGGCGAGTTCACATTCCAAGGGGTGGGAGTAAAGGACGAAGGCGGGGCTGGAGGACGACAGCCTGGAGGCGGGCAGTCGGGAAGAATAGCGCCGGGCCCCCGTGGGCGTGACCAAAATGTTGTGGCGGATTGAAGAGGTTGGTGGGCGTGACTAGGATGCGCTATGAGAAAGGTCGAGATCTACATTTTGGGGGGCTTGGGCTAAAGGCTCAACTGGGTCGTCTCCTTTGGGGCATGATCAAGTCAGGGGCGTGGCCAGACTTGGCCGATGAAGTACTTCCCACGGGGGCGTTGCCAGAGGAAAGAGCTGATCCCAAAGCTGTCGTATCAAGGGGGGGCAGAGCCAAGGCAGTGGGCGTGGCCTGAAGGACTGGTGGGGCAGGACCTGGTTGCAGGTGTGGGTGTCATCGCTCAGGTAGGCTCTTAGAGGTCTGTATGGGTCTGCTCGGTGGTCCAGCCCCGGCCTCCTCTGGCAGGTGTTCTTGGCCTACTCCTAGCCCTCCACCTGCTCTTACCTGCCCCCAGGTGATCGCAGGTGCTGGGCTGGATGTGGATTTCACGCTGGAGAGCCCTCAGGGTGTGCTGCTGGTCAGTGAGTCCCGCAAGGCAGATGGGGTGCACACGTGAGTTAAGTCCTGCTGCCTGCTGGGGTTCGGTTACAGCCCTGCCCCTCCCCATTGGCCTCCGGTTACCGCCCTGCCTGTTTCTCAAAGTCCGGCTGGCGGCCATTCAGGGTCATGTCTGTGTGTCTGCCTGTCTGCCCAGGGTAGAGCCCACGGAGGCTGGGGACTACAAGCTGTGCTTCGACAACTCCTTCAGCACCATCTCCGAGAAGCTGGTGTTCTTCGAACTCATCTTTGACAGCCTGCAGGATGATGAGGAGGTCGAAGGCTGGGCAGAGGTCGTGGAGCCCGAGGAGATGCTGGATGTCAAAATGGAGGACATCAAGGTGTGCACAGGTTGAGCTGGGGCCAGTCCTCCCAGATCTCTGGCTGGGGTCCTCCTTGGCCTGGCCCAGCCTTTCCTACCAGTGATGCCCCCAAGTTAATTAACAGTAGCAACTCAGTTAAAAATCATAGCACATTTCTCGCCGAAACCGGTTTGGCTCAGTGGATAGAGTGTCGGCTTGCGGACTGGAGGGTCCCGGGTTCGATTCCGGTCAAGGGCATGTACCTGGGTTGCGGGCGCATCCCCAATGGGAGATGTGCAGGAGGCAGCTGATCGATGTTCCTCTCTCATTGATGTTTCTAACTCTCTATCTCTCTCCCTTCCTCTCTGTAAAAAATCAATAAAATATATTTTTAAAAAAATCATAGCACATTTCTAGGAGTAAGTCCTGATTTTAAGGACTGAAATAACTCATCAAATCTCCATAACCACCCTATGAATTAGGCAGTGTGCTCAAATCATCCCCAATTTTATTGAGGCACAGGATGGCTAAGTAACTGTTCTAAGGCCACACAGCTAGCAACTGGCAGCGCCAATATTTGAAACTAGGCAGTCTGGCTTCAGCAAACTGTGCTGTTATCCACTAGTAAATACATTCACTTAAAAAAAAAATACATTCTTTACACTTACGGAAGCATTCAGTTCTCACAATTCTGAGGCACTTGAGGCCCAGGGAGTTCATTACCTTGCTCATAGTGAATGGCAGGATGAGGGTTTAGATTCAAGCAGGCAGCCTGGTCAGTCTGTGCTCTCAGCTCTCCTCCACCAACAAACCCTCACCCATTTCCCCATTTTATCAGTCTCTGCTCCCCAAAGGACAGAGGCCTGACCCTGCTCCCTCCCTGCCCCATAGGAGTCTATCGAGACCATGAGGACACGCCTGGAGCGCAGCATCCAGACGCTGACCCTGCTGCGAGCCTTGGAAGCACGTGACCGCAACCTGCAGGAGGGCAACCTGGAACGGGTCACCTTCTGGTCGGCTGTGAACGTGGCCGTGCTGCTGCTGGTGGCTGTGCTGCAGGTCTGCACCCTCAAGCGCTTCTTCCAGGATAAGCGCCCGGTGCCTACGTAGCCCGTCCCTGAAGAACAGGGAAAAGCCACGGCAGCAGGGTGCATGTGTGTGTGACGTAGTTTCCTCTGAGAAGCGAGGCTGTATGTTCGGGGCCTGAGGTGTGGCCCGCGTCTTCCCTTCCAGGCCAGAATACTGGCTGGCTTGCAGGTCTGGGCCATCCAGAAGGGGTAGCTCAGTGACTGCATCTGCTTTCCTGGAAATTGTGCGTGGGGGGCACTGCAGCATTTGAATGCAACCCTGGGGTTTTCTGGCCCCACCTGTCCCCTAAATGTGCCTTAGCCTGAGCCTTCCAGTTGCACCACCACTGCCTGGTGCAGAATGGGATCCAGGAAGCAAACTTTTTCTTCCCTCCCCCAACTGGCCCTATGAGCCAGGACACGGAGGGAGGAAGCTTGCTGCTCACGGAACCCCATGCCTTCCTTCCCCTTCTTGGCGCTCCACCTGGGGCCTGTTGCTGCTGCTGAGAACGGACTGTTCATGCCGGAGCTGGGAAGGAGACTCGGCTTGCAGTGTTCTTGCCAGGACAGTCACTTTATTGACAGGAAGGAGCCGGCCCCTTGGCCCAGCAGGGGGTAGGTGTGAGGTCTGGTAACAGAATTCCAGGAGTGGGGCTTGCAAGTCCTTCTGCCCCTCCTGCTCTCCCTGCAGGGGCCCCAGACAGGGCTGAGGGGTAGCCTGACCGAAGCCCATACAGGAGCCTCACAGAACAAAGGGTGGTTTGGCCTGGGGACTGGAGCCAATAAATTATGATCAGAAAATCACATAGCCTGGTGACTGGGGCTCAGGGACACCGGCCAGGACAGACCTGCCCCCAAGAGGGCAGCCAGGCAGGCGGGAAGGGTCTCTCACGAAGCTCAGAAGAAGGGTCTGGCGGGAGCCGATGGAGGTGGTCGCCTGGGCATAAGAGAAAAATCAGAAAGCAATGTTTAACTGTGTCCCCGGCTGGGCCAGAAGGCCTGGGGCCCCAAGAAGGGGGAGAGGGGGCCTGGGGGAAGTGCTCAGGACTTCAGGGCAGAGTGCCTGACCACAGCACAGTTTGGGGTGGAGGGCCAGGATTCCTTCTCCCATCAGGGATCTGGATGCCCGCTCCAGGCCTCAGTGTGGTTATAGGGGGGTGGGGGGGGGATAGTTTCCTCCAGTCCTGAGATGTTATGGGTAGTAAAAGCTCTCCCCTCTAGAGCACGAATTCCTCTGGAATGAGTCCTTCCCACAAGAGCAGCCCCCCCATGAGTAAGGTGTGGGGGAGGCTGTGGTGGAAAGGGTGGGGTCCTCATTGGAGGCCTTCTTGGGGGAAGGCAAGCAGTCCACACCCTCGGCCTGAACGCCAACACAAAAGGCCCACACAGCAGCCACCAGAAGCTTCTTCCCTTTATTTTAGTTTATTAATAGGATACAGAGTGCAGGCACTTACAGTGGTCAACCCGAGCGAACAGTGAGCGAGGTCTGCTCAGAGAGTGGCCACCTGGGGCCCGCCCCATGTAGGAGGCCAGGGTAGGAGCCGAGGGGCTCCCAAAGCCTCCCAGCCCACTCAGCCCTCAACCCAGGCCACTCTGGGGACCTGGGAGGAGGAGGAGGGGTGGAGGGAGGGGAAGAGAGAGCGTGGCCAGCGGAGCTGAGGGTTCCAGACCTGGCAAAGGCACCTCTGGCAGCCAAGGCTGGGCCGTGCAGTTAATACGGCCAAAAAGGAATATGTACGACGTGGGCAGGGCGGGCAGCACTGGACCGGCTCCTGTCTTGCCGCCAGGAGCTCCCACTGCTGAGATGGGGACACACTCCTCGCACCCCAGCAAGGACTAAGCGTACAGACGCCTCTGGTGCCCCGGTTCCAGAAGGCCTGGTCTGCTCGGGCTTTCCAGGCCTGAGAAGCCCCTGGGTGAGTCCCTGTTACACCAGCCGGGATCCCTTGTTCAAGATGGTGCTCAGGGTCCAGTTTCCTCCTCTGCTACCTCAGGCCTCATCCCCCAAAGTGCAACACCCAAGTTCCCCCCATCCTGAGGATCCAGGGCCCCTCAGTGCTATGTCCAGCTGGGGGTAGGGGCCAGGCCCGCCCCCGGCCAGGCCAGGGTTAGCAAAGACTCGGGGAGCCTGGGCCCGGCATGGGGATGAGAGGGCCAGGGGCGGCGGAGGGGCCCAGATGAACAACGCTCCTGCACTGAGGGTGCACAGGGAGCCCTCAAGAAAATGCCCCTGCAGCCTAGTCGAGCAGGGAAGGCTCGGACGGGCGGATAATGGTGGGCCGGCTGGGCGCAGCCGGGGGTCTTCTGCTGCAAAGAGAATAAAGACAGGGAGGGGGAGAGGGCAGTGAGGCTGGAAGCAGGGTAATGAGGACCCAGGCCCCACCACCCGCTCCCAGGTTGCTGCCCTTTGCTAGATGCTCTGAAGGCAGCCAGGATGAGTCTGTCAAGCCTAGGCGTTGGTAGCCTGCAGTCACTCACTTGCTATGTGACCCTGGGCAGTCCCCCACCCGCCCTGGACCTCATGTTCCTCCAGGACAAGTGGGGAGGAGCGAGCTTGGCCTGCAGGTGGGGAGAGGCAGGGCAGGGTTATGCCGTGACTGAGGTGTGTCCTCAGGAAAGAAGCAAAGGCCAGGGGAAGAGGCCCCGTGTGAGGGGCCCAAGCTGTGGCAGAAGACAGGCTGGGGGCCTTGGAGTCACCTGACTCCGGAACTTTGGGCAGTTGACTTGGCCGCTCTGGGCCTCAGTTTCCCCACCAAATGAAGATGCCAGTGACTCCTCTACTCCCTGCAGGGTTCAGGCCAGTGGCTCTAGATGGTAGGCAACTAGGGGGCCAGCCTTACCTGGGCACTCCAGGGGGGATGCCGGGTGGGATCCGAGCGGGCCGAGACGGGATCTGAGGCGGGGCCATGAAGGGGTCATTGTTGGCAAACACGCTCTGGGGTATGGGCCGGGATGGGATGGGAGGCGCTGAGAAGGAGGCTGCTGGCCCCACCGGCACAGGCATCAGGGGAGGCCCTGGAGTGGGGCCCCTCACTGCTGGGGGCCTTCCTGGGGGATGCACACTGGATACAGGTCGCCGCTGCGGAATGGGGCTGCGGAAGAAAGAGGGTGTGAGCTGGAAATAGTGGGCAGGAACACCAGCCATGCCCATTAGCCACAGAAGCCAGAGGTGGGCTGGGGCTGCTGACCCCAATGGCCTCTGTAATGGGCTGGGACAAGCTACGACTCAGGGAGATATGAGTGAACGCCTGGTCCTAGACAAGGGGCCGTGCAGGTCCACTGGGATCCTCTGCTCACCCCCAAACCTGCTAGAAATGGCCGCCCTCCCACCCCAGACCTACCTGTCCTTGGCTAAGGGCTCCTTTGTCCCTCTGACCTCAGTTCCACAGACTTTTACTCTCACTAGCTCTGCTCGGGCCTCTCCACCTCGGTGCTTCCTCCAATCCACCCTCCATAGTTGCAAATGCTACCAGAGCTTAGCTCTGCCCTATAAATCATGATCAGATGCTTCCAGAGGCCACAAGTCCCTGTCCCCGGTGCCCCACAAGCTATCCCAGGGCCCGAGCACCTGCTGCTCCCCCTGCTGGATGCTGTGTCCTCTCCCTAACTAACTCTGGTTCCCTGAGGTCTCGGCAGAGCTGACACTTTCTATGAGATTTCCTTGACCTACCTTCTCCTGCCACTTGCCTGACCTTCTACCGACTAGATTTCCCTGCCTGATGCTCTGAATTACCCACCCACACCAGAGTCTCATTTACATCCACAGCTCAGGGGTGGTCAGAGGGGAGGAGACTTGCTGGTTATGCCCTTCCTGCCCCTCCAGATCCTGCTCCACCCACCATTCTTAGCTGTGCTCTGTGCCTGAGGAGGCTGACCACCGTGGCCAGTGTCACGCGGGCCTCTTCCCCTCTCTGGCTTCCATTTAGGCTGAAGCAATGGAAGGCATCAAGAGACAGTCTGGCCTTTAACCCTTCTCCCAGTCTCCTCAGGCTGAGGTGGGCTAGCAGTTCCCACTGTGACTAGCCCCGGGCGCTATGCCATCCGGATTGGGCCCCTTTACCCTGCCCACTCGTGGGCCCGGAGAGGAGCTAGGAACCTGCAGGCAGCAGCCTCTGCAGCAAGCGGGTAACCAGGCCTGACAGACCTGTGGTTGCTGGTGCTCTGGAGCCAGGTGTCATCAACGGGTGGAGGCACAGGTGTGGACACGGTGCTGGTGCTGATGTCCCCTATTATGTTGAGCGCTTCCTTCAGTGCGTGGTACATGCGCAGCATGTCGTCTCGCCGCTGGGCCTGCTCAGCTGACTCCTCCATGAGGCTGGTCTGGTCTGCCGATGAGTACAGGTAGGCCAGCAGCTCGTGGTGGATGAAGGCCTTCGTCTGGGGACAAGGATCAGAGCGGTCAGAGCTTCCCACCAACCGACCATGCCCTCAGTTGACCATTGAGACTGGCTGGAAAAGCATTCACCACAATAGAAAGGGCTTTCTTTGTCTTTAATTTTATTTTAAATATTTTTATTGATTTTAGGGAGAGGAAGAGAGAGATAGAAACATCAATGATGAGAGGGAATCATTGATTGCCTCCTGCATGTTGGACCAAGCCCGCAACCCAGGCGTGTGCCCTTGACCAGAATTGAACCTGGGACCCTTGGGTCCACAGGCCAATGCTCTTTCCACTGAGCCAAACCGGCTAGGGCTCTTTGTCTTTAATTTATTGTAGAACATGTATGATGTTTAAAACACAGGTGAGAGGTTCAAAGGGAACCAAGAAGGAGAGAACCAAGATGGCAGCGTAGGTAAACGCCGGCCAGTACTAGCAGCCTCCCACAACCACATCCAAATTACAACTAAAATGCAGAACAACCATCATTCAGAACTGGCTGAATGGAAGTCCTACAACTAGAGAAGAAGAAAGCACGTTGAGACTGGCAGGAGGGCAGACACAGACAAAAGGATGGTGAAGGTGGGGGCGGGCTAGAAGGCGACAATGGGGGCAAAAAAGGGAACATATATAATACTTTCAACAATAAAGATTTTAAAAAGATATTTTTATTGATTTCAGAGAGGAAGGAAGGGGGAGAGAGACAGATTGAGCCCTAAACCAGAGTATTGAATGTGACTTTCTGATTCATAGGTTAGATGTTCAACCACTGAGCCACGCTGGTTGGACATGTGCCCTTGACCGGAACTGAACCTGGGACTCTTTGGTCCACAGGCCAACACCCTATCCACTGAGCCAAACCGGCTAGGGCCCATATAGCAGGCTGACGCTCTATCCTCTGAGCCAAACCGGTTTTGGCCCATATATGCATTTTAAATTTCAGGCTGCAGAACCATCCTATCTAATAAAAGAGTAATATGCAAATTAACTGTCACTCCCACACAAAGATGGTGGTGCCCATAGCCACAAGATGGCAGCGTCCAGTCCTCTCAGCCCCGCTGGAGTCCTCCAGTTCTGGGGGCGGCCGCTGAGAGCAGGGCCCACTTGGCCATCGCCAGCAGCGACCTGGGAGCAGTTAAGCAGGCCCCACAGACCACGCACGGTAGGGCTCGCTTGGCTGTCGCTGGTGGTGACCTGGGTGCAGCCAAGCAGACCCCGCACACTGCGGACAGCAGGGCCCACTTGGCTGTCACCTGCGGCGACCCGGGAGCGGCCAAGCAAGCCCCACAGACAGCAGAGAACCCCCTGAACTTCCAGTCAGGGGGCAGTAGGCCTAAGCCATCAGTAGGACATCCCCTGAGGGCTCCCGGATTGGAGAGGGTGCAGGTCGGGCTGAGGGATGCGCCCCCACCCCCCCATGCACAAATTCCGTGCACTGGGCCTCTAGTTTATATCATAAATCTCATCAATATGTGAAGAATATACCAGGGCACCCACAAAACTTCACACTGATCACTGAGAAGGAGACCGTGAAGAATGGAACAAAAGGGAAGGGATTTGGGATTTTTGCTTTAGATCCTGTCATACTTTCAGTTTTTATGGTCACAACACAAATCAAACCTGATTATATAGCTTTCGGAGTACCTGCTGCAAAGTCAAAGGCCTGACATGGGAGACATTAGTACAGCTGCATTTTATCAAAAACAAGCCTAAATGAATGGCTTGTGAGCCCAGGTCAGGCAGGTAATGCTGAAAGTAAAGGCGGCCTGGGCTGCAGGCCATCAGGAGGCCAAGGCTGCCAACACAAGGCTAAAGTTGAGGATAGGCTCAGTCTGACTTTAGAATCCCAACTTCCACTTTTCTGAATGTTGGGGCAGGTTTCTTGACTTCTCTGGGCCTCCATTTTCCTGTCTATAAAATGGGGATGACAGCAGTCCCTCTCCTATGGTTATTGTAAGACTAAAAAGATTAATTTAGAGGAAGTGCACACATGTCGTGTTAACTTAAGTTACCTGACAAAAGTAATGAACCCTGTGTGGCCTGTACCTTCCAATTTCCCAGAAGAAGCTGGGAATCCTGATTTTGATATTTAAAAGGTAGTAACTAATTTTTTTATTTTATAGTGTTTAGGCCAAATCTGGCTGTGGCCACCACTGACCCGTCTCTGTGACTGAGGCCCTGCAGGGCCAGATACTTACGTTGTTGATCATGAGGTGCATGATGGTCTTTGGCATGAGGTCGCGGATGGACTTGTTGATGATGGCCACGTAGGAGTCTACCAGGTTGCGAATGGTCTCCACCTGGCGCTCTAGCTGCGGGTCCATGGAGAAGGTGTTCTCCTGTACTCCACCTTCCTCGTTTTCTGCCTGCAAGGTGGGAGAGAGGTGGTGAAGGGTGACTGAGGTCTAAGGAGAGCATAGGGAGCCCCCGCTTCTCTGAAAATTGCTTGCCCTGTCCCCCCCACAACCAACCAACCCTCCAGGGCTGGCTCCTGAAATCCATGTTGGCATGTGGCCCTGCCTGCCCCTGGACTGAGCTGCCCTGACCTGAGGTGACCATGGCCCAAAGCGGGTTAGATCTTCTTACTTGGAGACTGAAACAAATGTTAAGAACAACAATAAAAAAAAAAAAGAACCTGTTAATTAGGGGATGTGGATAGCCATGTTCTCTCTACTTCAAGGAGAAGAGAAAACATAGCAGATGGGGTCCTAGTCCTTACTCATCCCTGTCCTTGGCTTCAGTTGGAGAACCTTCTGGGCCCTGAGGACAAAATCCTCTCCACTTCTCTGTTTTGTGTGCTCAGGGTGTGGGCTACGTGCCTTCAGAAAGTTGTGGTAAATACAGCCTGGAGATGACTCACCCTATTGAGATCCTAGCCCCTTCCTCTCCCAGGCGGGGTCAGCGCAGCCAGAGGGTGCTGGCCAGGCAGGGTAGGGACTCACCTGGTCCTTCTCAGGGTAGACACCAGCCCGGAGGAAGGAGGCCTTCCAGCTGTCCACTTCCTCCTGCGACTCACAGGCCAGCTCGATCTGCCGCAGGTCCTTATAGACATTCCTGTGACGGGAGAGGGAGGCACATGCCTGACCTGACCGTGGGCCCGGGTTGGGTGTAATGAGCTCGAGGGTCTGAGTGACTGGGATTCACACGTGACCCAGACACTCACGACCAGACCCCAGGATGGTAGCAGTTTCTGTACCCGATCCTGTCCCACCGGCAGGCATGGCTGAGACGGCCAAGCTGCTCAAAGTCTCTGCGAGAGATTGGGGTTTGAGGTGGGGCACTGTCCCGCGATGGAGCTCGGCCAACTGGTGGTGAGTGAGTGGGGGCCTGGAGAGACTTATGGAAGGAGTGGTGAAGGGAGGGGCACGCTGTTATTGCTCCTCCGACTCTTCTCCGATGCCCGCGTCGTCATCGGGCTGGCTGCAGCTTGGGCAGCCACCTTGGACAATGAGCAGCAAGGCTGAGGGATAAGGAGGACCTGGGCCCACATACCTGTGGAGCTGCCCCACTTGCCCTGGATGGTAAAGTCTTAATTTGATTTATATAAAAAAAGGAAACCTCTATCTTGTTTCTGTTACTATTATTCTGGCTTTTCTAAACTCCTAAACAATCTATCAGGTAATATTTTCACAGGGGAACACAGGGCCAGGGTGATGGGACAGTTGCCCAGTGTCACTCAGTCAGGAAAAGCTCCCCAACAGGTCTGTCCCCCTGCAGAGCCCAGGTTCTGCCAGTACGCCCTAGGGATTCTTGGGCAGGAGAGGTAGGTGAGCCTCACAGAGCTATAAAGGTTTTTGGAGCCAGCTGATGGCCAAAGTAGGTCTTGAGGGCAGTCCAGAAAAAAGGATAGCGTTTTTCTTACACAAAACAGGGGCTCAGCTGGAATTGGTGGTGCAGACAAGCAATGTGGTGGTGGCCCTGGGGCCAGCTGGGATGCCAATCACCTGCCAGCTGGCTCAGGTGGTCCCTGGTTCCTGGATGAGGGTGTGTGTGTCTTAGAGAGGGGCCCTCCCTTCCTGAGTTGAGAAAAGTGCTTTTACTTGTGCTCAAGTCTCCCAATACACTATGGGAAGGTTTACTGAGGGCGTCCTGGTCCCTTCCCATCTGCACGCACTCGGGATCCCATTTGGTCTGACTTTAAATACCACCCTGCGACCACAATTCCCCAATTCACATCCCTTCCTGGGACTTGTTCCTAAATGCCACACTCATATCTACCCAGCTACCTCCCCAACCCCACAGGCCTCTCTCCCTCTTCATGGCTCCTGTCTCCCAGCTTACCCTGCCTCCACCTTCCCCATCATGGTTGCTGGCAGCTCCCTCCCTGCAGGAGCTCAGGGTCACCAGCAATGCCGTTCTCTCCATATCCACCAGAAGTTTGGCCAACTCCCCCTCTAAGTCCCTAAGCGCCACCCAGGTCCAGCCCCACCATCTCCCACCTGGATCAGCACAGTCTCTTGGTCCAGGTGCCCTGGGCTCCCGCCACACCCCCATGTCTGTCTCCCATGGCCACGAGAGGGCGCTGTGAGCACCTGAGTCAGGTCCTATTCCTGTTTAGAACCTCCAAGGCGCCTGGCGTCATTTCATCTGTCTCTGCCCAGAGGGTCCTCCCTGACCACCCATGGCATTTTTTTCAATGGACTCTCTTTCTAGAATGTGATATGCCAGGGTAGGGACTATACTCACCAAGTGCTCAGTGGATGCTGCTGAATGACTGACTGAACGAGTCTCCATCCTAGGGCCCCATGGGACTCACCTCTGCTCCGTGTTGAAGATGGCAAAGACATGCTTGTTGGACATGAAGCCCTTCTCTACATCACGGATTTTGAGGTTGTCCAAAGGCAGCATGTATTTCTTCTCTTTCTCCTGAGGGTGGAAGGGCAGGGGTCAGCCTATGCTGTTTAACTGAAGACCCGAGGATGCCCGGAGCTGGGCTCTACTGCACGGACCACTGCCAACACCTGATGCTTCTCATTTTAGCACGTTACTCAGATTAACTCACCCACTACTGCTGCCTCCCGTTCACCTGCCCCGGCCATGCTGGCCTCTTGACACTCCCTGAACATCCTGGGCAAGCGCCCACCCAGGACCTTTGTACCTCTGGGACCTCTGCCAGGAACACTCCACGTCCGTGGCTCCCTCCTTGCCCCCTTCGGGTCTTTGTGCAGAGGAGACCTTGGCAACACCCGCCCTAAGCCCACCCCAACCTCCCGCAGATCCCAACTACCTTCCCCTTGATGCCTCCCCTCACAACACAACTGTGTATCTTGCTATTGATTCGGGCTGCCGTCTGTCACCGGACAGACTCCTCGGTTCCTGGAGGGCAGGGACTCCTGTCTATTTGGTCCCTGCTGACACAGTGGATGCTCAAAGCTGGCCAGCTCTGACTCCACCCAGAATCCACTTCTCCCCTCCAGGCTGAGGGAATGAACTAAATCAGCTACAGCCTCATCATGAGTCTGGAAGTGAGTTCCGACTATGCTCCCATTTACAGAGGGGAGGGAGGCAGAGGCACTGAGAAGGGCAGGCAGGGGATCAGGGGCAGGGCTGGGATTTCAGGTGATCCAGGAGCTGGAAAGCAGGCCCACTGAACTGACGGATGCCTGAGCTCCAAAGCCACAGAAGTGTCACTGGCTTCGTAAGGGCAGCCCCACTGAGGAAGTGCCGCTGGGGAAGCAGCCCTGGAGCCCAATGCTCTCCACCACTGTCGGCAAAGCACCTACAGGGCCAGCGCACCATTGTTAGTTTTCACAGTAGCCATGCCATGTGTGCGCATGCGCTTGCACACTTTAACTGGGTTTTCACACCAGGAAACCAGAGCATGGTGTCAGGGTTCCCCAGCTCCCATGCCCACATGACCCATGGCAAATCTCAAGAGCCAATGTGAAGTGCTGCTCCTCCATCAGCTCATGAAACCTTCCACCATCCCTGCCAGGGAAGCTTTAGGCTCAGGGCCACACAGCAGGCAGCATGGGCCACATAGGGACGTGTGCCCCAGACCATGCTCTCGTCACCATTCTCCCGGCCTTTCACCTCCTGGCGACTCTGGAGACCTGTCTCCTCACCCAGCAGTTCACTTCTTTCCACCTGTCTTGTCCCTGTCTGCCAGAAGGCCCCAGAACAAAGCCCAACATGGCTGCTGCTTCCAAATTCAAGAGCAACCCGTGACGGAGGGGAAGGGGTCAGGGGCTCCCTCAGGGTTTCAAGACCACAGACAGGGAGGCAGGAGCTAGTGGCCAGCTTGGTGCCAAGCATGGGCTGTCCTTGGGCACTGGGAACTCAGACCTCTGCCCCTCCCTGACCATGTGCCCCTGGGCAAGCCACTTCCCCGCTGTCTATCAAAGGCAGACAGGAGCCTTGCCCTCCTGTGTGAGGTGAGGGTTGATACTTTGTGAGAAAGTACTGATCATGTGCCAACCCAGAGCCAGTGCTTACAAGACACCAGGTTTTCTTTTGTCTGTGTCCCTCATGCTCCAGGGTCAGCCGACCAGGCTCTGGGCAGGGAGGAAGCAGACACAGCGCTTCTCCAGGCCAAGCTGCAGTGAGGCAGGGAGAGGGGCCCAGTGCCCAGGAAATCACACACACACACACACACACACACACACCCTTCAGGCTCCAGACTCAGAGCCCAAGGGACAGAGTGTGGTGAAGACAGGGTGCACCCGTTGTCCCAGGCAGTTTGGGGGGCTTTAGAAGAGAACAGGGCAGGAGTTCCCTGACTGGAAGTTTGTGGAAAGGCCTTCGCTGCCCCCACCCTGCTGTGTCCTGAGGCAGGAAGCTTCTCGTCAGCTGGCCAGGCCAAGTAACTGAGTCACAGTCCTTTTGGACCCCGAGCGAGACGCCACATCTGGAACTGTTTATAGTGTGATTCCACCCAGAGCACAGCGGCTGCCTTCCTGATGCTGCCGGCGCA